AAGAACATTTATGTTGTATAAAGAAATAAAAGATTGAATTAAAAATTAAAAACAAAAGAAGGTACTATTTTTAAAGAATTATTTATTAAATTTATTAAATAAACAAACAGGATCTCTGTAACTGAAAATACATACAATGGCTTAACTGAAATACTCAAGGATAGGTTAAAGTGAATAATATATACGGCTGGAAAGAGAATTTATAAACTTGGAGAGGGGGATGGGATAAAGGTTCTCAGAGAGAAAAGAGAAGAGAGATGAAAAATAAGAGAAGTAACAAAATAAGAATTAATAAAGTGATTATCAAGCAGCAATGAAGTGAAAGCCGACCAGAAGTTAAAAAGATTAAGAATTTCAGGTTTTCTGCAGGACCCACACAAGGAAGCACCGGGGGTCGGGCAGGAGGAAAGGGAGTGAGGGTAAAACGGGAGCGAGCGCCTTTACCGTGGTTTCCGAAGAAGGCCAGGTGAGGCCGGCAAGCAGTATAGGACTGGCTAGTTGGAATAATTTCAGTGGGCCCCGGGGCTGTCCCTAGTTGTCTGGTCCTGTCCGGGAGTGATTAGAGCAGGCAGATAGTGGCCCAGGGTGTGAGAGCCCAGTAAGGGAGGTGGTTGAGGTATGGGCTCTGGATCGGTTGGTTTGCATTTGAAAACTGAGCTTGATGGTGACTTGTTAGACTATCTCAAAGAATAGGCTGACCCTGGCAGGGGCAGCTCCTCCAGGGTCCATTAGGCCCTAAGATGTCAATCATCAGAATACAGAAAATAAAAGACATGACATTTTGGGCCAGATAGTTCATTCTTAGGAGTGGGGAAAGGCTGTCCTGTGCATTGTAGAATGTTGAGCAGCATCTCTGTCCTCTACTCATTAGAGGCCAGTAGCACCCCCGCCCCCCGAGTAACAACCAGAAATGTCTCCAGACATTGCCAAAAGATTGCCCTAAAGGGCAAAAAGATTCCCACCATTTTAGGGTAAAACAAAAACAAAAACAAACAAAGAAACCCCCACAGCTTTGAAATGGCTAGTCATGGGATGGCTAGTCAACAAGGCCGCTTTGAGATTAATGCTGCTAGAATGTGAGTTGAGTACCTAGAAGTCACAAGGCGATAAAAGGTCGTACTTGGTTAAACTGAAAGGCTGGGAGGGTACAAGGACACAAAACTGTGGTCCAAATGAAACCTACAGGGATGCTTTGTAGGGGAAGAGCTGATGTGATTAGAGATGGGAATAATAGCATTTATGAGGCCAGAAAAAAAATCATAGCTATTTTCTTGCTACATGGCCAAAACTCTTCACCACAAAGCTGTTCCGCTCCTCTGGGAAACCTAGATGAAGGTGTTAGGAAGATCATCAGTATGCATGCGAAAGTGTTTTAGGCTCATGGTGGGTCACAGTTTCTAGAGAAAGATTGTACTCCGATACCAAAGGGGCAAGCGGGAGCCAGGCTACTTCATAGGACCGAATTAGGATGAGAGAGCAGAATTAGCAGAAAAGCGGGGACAGGCAGAGGAGAGAGGGAGGTCGCAAGGCCAAGATGAATTGCCAGCACAGGAGAGCTGAGCCTGATGTGCACAGCCACCCTCAGCATGGCTCCCCCTGCGTAAAACCGCTTTTTATACAATTGTCTTTCACTTACCCCTCTTCTTACCTCCAAGTTCCTTTATGTCGCTCGAAATGCCAAAGACTGTATGGTTTCCTACTACCATTTCCAAAGGATGAATCAAATGCTTCCTGACCCTGGTACCTGGGAAGAGTATTTCGAAACCTTCATCAGTGGAAAAGGTAAAGGACAGTCCTTCACATCCTGGCATCCCCGCTCCATCTAAGCTCGATCACGCCTAACATTTTGATTTCCTAAACGGTCGATGCCCCACTCATTAGGCAAACTAGTTTTAACACAGACTTAGACTGGCTGGACTGGCTGCTCTCATCGCGGATATCCACAGCCCAAGTAAATATCTCCCATTTGGTTTGAAAGCCTTTATTCTGGGTCACCTTACCTGTAGAGTCATCCTCATTCCAAAGACTATCCCTGTTCCATTTTGAGGCCAATGTGATTATGCATCATCAATATGAAGCCACTTCAGGTAGCATGTGGGATAAATCACCCCATGGTATCCCATTCTACATCACCCTCCAAATCAAATAGATCAGGACTCTTAGGATCCACCATTTCTTTTCCTCTGTCTTCAACACACTTCGGGTAAATAAAATTCCTAACTATTGGAAGATTTTGTATGATCCCTATATAGGACTGTTCTATTTCCTGTGTCTGTTACAGTGTGTTGGGGTTCCTGGTATGACCACGTGAAAGGATGGTGGGAGATGAAAGACAGATATCGGATTCTCTTCCTCTTCTATGAGGACATAAAGAAGGTGAGTAAGGCCTTTCAGAAGAACTGCTTCGGACCCTGGTGCAGAGAAATTCTAAGCTGTTTCAGGACTTCTGGGAGGGAGACCTTGAAGAATGTAAGTGTGTCTTTCTGATACTCTCTTTCCTTCCAATACCCTCGCCACAGGACCCAAAGCATGAAATTCAGAAGGTTATGCAGTTCATGGGAAAGAATTTAGATGAGACAATACTGGATAAAATTGTCCAGGAGACATCATTTGAGAAAATGAAAGAAAATCCCATGACAAATCGTTCTACAGTTCCCAAATCTATCCTGGACCAGTCCATTTCCCCCTTCATGAGAAAAGGTTTGTGGGCTCTGAAATACTATGTAATTATAAGTATTATCAACTGCTCAGCTTATCTAGTAACATACTGCTTGCCTTTCAGCAAGATGTTAAGTTTTATTAATTTCAAGACAATACATTTACACTATTGATAATATCTGCAGCTAATAAGGTCAAGGGTTTGATCTTGTTACACAGGGTAGCTCTCTGGGTTATTCAGTGGCAAGGAACAGAAAGTGCCTCAAGTGAGCCTCAAAATGAGGGGCTTGCTGGGAGGAGTCTTGTGAAGCAACAAGGAGATGCAGTCTCAAAGGCAGTTAAGAGCAGGAGCCACCCTTGGTCCAGGCCTCACTGGCATCCAGGCCCCAGAGGCAGCAGCGGATTCCGGCTCTTTGCTCTGACACACCGCCACGTACAGGATTCAGCTGCTCTCTACATATCTGCTATGCATGCCTTTCTCTGCTGACCAGCTGCTTCTTCCCCTCTCTGCATTGTACCCTTTTCTTTTCTACCTTACAGCTTCTGCTGTCTCAGTTTCCACTCACAACTTGGTCTTGACCATGGCCCAAACCTGTCCCTCATCACGGTTTTCAGCCACAACTACTGCAGAGAACCACCTCATTCTCTTAACGTTTCGGAGTTCCAGTTCCAAAAAGAGGAATTCTAACTGCCCTTGCTAATATTTTCTAAGGAATATAAAAACCTTTATCGCATGTTAATTTTAAAACTAATACACATCATTGTAAAATTTAGATCAATATCGCATTATATTTTAAAAGTTCTCCTCACCAAAACTCGGCTCTCCAGAAGTAACTGTCAATGGTGTGGACGTCCCCTCCCTCTCTGTTTGAGAAACACAGACTTTTATTTTCGCAACACTGAACCATTGCCTGCATACTGCTTTGAACTTCTTTTCTTCTTTAAACATGTGATTGAATTTATTTTCTTGGATTTCCTAGTCTATAACATGGTCCTTTGCTACCGAAACAAACCAAACAATTCCATTTCTTTCCTCTTCAAATAATCAACGGTAATGATTTGGCAAGTAGCCTTTCTACAGACACATACATACTCATCTTTCTATTGATTCTCCTTCCCTCAGACTCATACATACACAAAGACATATACCACAATGAAAGCTTGCTTCC